TAAAATGACGGAGCTTTTAGCAGGAATATTCCGCGGTGGCGATATAAATATCACACTATGCCACGGAAAGATCGAGGTACCACCTTTACAATTACGCCCCAAAATAATATCGGAATTTCATGGCAGTCTGATTGGAGGACATAAAGGTATAACTAAGACCTATAGAAGAATACGTGAGAGGTATTATTGGCCGAGAATGCGAGACGAAGTTACAGAGTATATTCGCAAATGCAAGAGTTGCTTTGAGAATAAACTCGCCAGGGCTCGAACTCGTGAACCTATGCTAATAACAGATACCCCTGCGCAACCCTTTGACAAAGTGTCCCTAGATACCGTGGGAAAACTTCGAACCACTCCCAACGGCAATAGACATATACTAACAATGCAGGACAATTTCAGTAAATATTGCATTGCGGTCCCCATACCAGACATAAAAACAACCACCATTGCCCATGCCATAGCAGCAAACCTCTTTTCTGTATATGGAGCGCCTCGATGCGTCCTCACAGATAGAGGAGGTAGTTTTATAAGCTCCCTAATGCGGAAGCTTGAAAGCATCTTTGGAGTAAAACAACTTACGACTTCCGGATACCGCCCTCAAACTAACGGAGCGTTGGAAAGAAGCCATATTGAATTGACGGATTATATTAAGCACTACGCTCAAGATTTTGACGATTGGGATCGTCTACTTCCTTTTGCGATGCTCAATTATAACACGTCAGTTCATGAAGCTACAAACCTAACCCCATTCGAGTTAGTTTTTGGACGAGTAGCCCGGATCCCTTCCTCCCTACCACTTGGACCAGAATTAGAAACCTATGGTTCATATCTAAAGGATCTCGTGGTCCGATTGCATGAACTTCAAAATCTGGCAGCCGACAAGCTTAAAGGAGCAAAGCAACGCTCCAAAGAATTTTATGACCGAAAGTCAAGACCATCGAAGGTCAAGGTTGGCGACCAAGTCTATACCTACAAAGAGGTTAGGACAAACAAGTTCGACAATCGCGCTAATGGTCCGTACACTGTTGTAGGGTTAACCCAAAACAATAATGTCATTTTAGAAGATGATAATGGCGAAAGGTTCGCCAAACACAAAGACAAGGTGATGGTTACCTACCTTTAACTGTCACCTTCACAAAAATTTTGTTATTAACATACAGTCAAATTTTTTTTGTAGAAAATCAAAGATGTACTTGGCACGCTACTTAATCGTTTTGTACCTCTCTAACTCGATTATCGTGAAGGCGCAGATCAATCCAGTTCCAATAGGACCAATTGACGGCCCCGGATACCAGATTACCCCACTTGACATAAGTAGTGGGATATATTACGAATATTCGGGAGAAGTAAGAAGGTCAGTTAGTAATTGGAGGATCAGCATCTTCCTGGACATCGGCAAACAAGTGAGGCATTTCGAGGAATTGAATTACAAATTGAACGACGTGAAGCAGCAATGCTTTCCAAAAGAAGAATGGTGCGGTGTCCGAATCGAATCATTTCCCTGGGAGGACCGATGGGAAATAGCTGCAGACCTACAACGAGAACTTCAGCGGCAATTAGAAGAACTAGAAAGAACACGCCAGAATCTTCCTATATTGGTATCATCACAGTTTCGAGCTCGGCGCAGTGTTCCCCTTTTTGGATTCCTTGGAAAGATTGCAGGACCCATCGCTGGTGTACTAAACTACGAAGATGGTGAACATTACGAGGCAGTTATGCAAGAATTAAATGAAGCACAAGCAAACTTATCACACCTTGTTGGAAAGCAGACACATGTGGTTAGGTCTCAATTAGAAAGTCTGCATAGTCAGGTGCAACATCACGACGAAGTCTTGCAGGAACTACACCAATCTTTCGACACCCTGAATAAGGAGCTAAATGGACAATTTAAACATTCTGAATTCCAAGAATACTCCAAACTCCTGGACAAAACACTGGCTGCCATAAAATTAGGAATTGATCACAACATCCGAACGACGACAACAATGCTAGACGCAGTTCACGATGCTAGAAGAGGACAATTGCATCCTGGAATTTTATCTTCAGAACAATTGGGACTTATCCTCGACGACATTAGAAATAACGCCACTGATGTTATTTTCCCCATACCTGGACCCAAGGTCAGCGTTGACGAATTAATTCAAGTAGCCACGACCAGTATTCTAAGCGAGGACCACAAAATCAAAATTTTGATGGACATTCCTCTCCTGGAACAAGACAAATATGCAGCCTTCAAACTACATCCACTGCCGACTCTTCAAGGTGAACTTGGAAACGCATCTACTAGGGCATACGTGAATCCTGCATACAACTACTTAATCGTCGACAAAGAGCAAAGAACCTATCTTTTGCTTAAAGACAAAGATTGGGAAAATTGTAGGACAACGACATCGTTCCATGCATGTCTGAAAGGATCACCCATTTACGACCTTCAGAACAGACCAATCTGTGAGGTATCACTCCTGACCAATCCCACGGACAAAGTACTACGAACCTGTGATATCAGAATTACTTCAAGTCTAGAATCTTTTTGGAAACCTCTGCGGACCTTAGCAGCCTGGCTTTATTCAGTGGCCAAGCCAGAAGTGTTACTGATAATCTGCCACTCTGCTTATCCGATCAAAATAAATGTCACAGGTACTGGGATAATAAGGCTAGCCCCAGGATGTTCGGCAAAGACAAAAGATATAACTATCCCAGCAACAGCAACTCAGGTAGGCCAAACGGAGATCTTATATGAACCCGAGTTACACCTGGACTTAAAACGGATTTCAAATGTATTTTCTACCTATTCCCATTTAACAACTACGATGGGAATTCAAGAGAATGTTCGAACAAAATTGAAGACCCCCAATTTCGATACCAACTCCAAAACTCTGGAACAACTGGAACAGGAATTGGAGAATTTTGCGATGCAGCGAAAATGGAGAACCCATCACTCTATCCTTATTTATGGGTCCTATAGTGGATTGATAATTTTTGGCATTATCAGTCTCCTCCTTCTATGTCGACACTCAATCAGTAGAAAAATCAGGACTATCACTGGCAAAAGTAATTTCAAAAGGAACAAGGCTGATCCCGTTCCGGAGACAGGGTATAAGTTGAGGGATCAAGACGAGCATTTAGATATGCAGAGACCTGGAAAAATCCCTTCAACATCTGCGATTCTAGAACGAAGTATGGAACTCCAAACATCGACCGCTGACGCGCCTGAGAATCTCGTACCTATAACCCAATCTTGACAATTAAATCCCGAAGGTTTCGGAATTTCGACAACAAAATCAACATCATCAATTAGTGTCAGTTCACCAACTAGAAACTGTTTAAAAAGGGTAATTGTATTACCCATACAAGCACTCCAACCAATCTAGTTAAGAATGCATATGCATGTATGTGTGTATATATGTGTAGTTTTCTAGATTTTTTTTTCTCTGAAAAACATAGCCAATGATATGAAAAGGATTGTAACATGTGTTGCTTTTCCTATAACTAAAATCAAGCAAACATATTTAAAAATTTTGTGACCTGCGAGCATGGTCTCCAAAGGGCAGTCTGAAGGGTCTTTTATGGTTTTATGACTTTTCATTGCAAAATTAAAAATTGTTGGAATTAAAAAAAAAAAAAAAAAAAAATAATTGTATGAATATTGTATTTGCAGTGTGCAGGTTGAAACAATTACAACGGTATAAAATTTTTTTTTTGCAAATACTATAAGATTAGAGTTTGTACATATGTAAATCATGAAATTATATAACTTTTCCAAAAGCAAATTTTAATATTTAGACGTAAAAATTTATATCGTTGGGATCGTCAAAATCTGCAAATGGTGAGTTTAATGTTTAAAAAAAAAAAAAATTATTCCTTTGGATTTAAATATTTTTTTTATTTTGCACCAAAATACCATGGGAATTGAACGACCCTAACATAAAAAAAAAAAAAAAAAAAAAAATTTAGTTGTCAATACACATGTTTCTTGAAATTTAAAAGAAATTGAAAGAGAAAGTTTATTTGCTGAAACGGAAAATAATGTACGCCTCCTTTTATAGTTCTCTGCGCGTAAAGGGCCCAAATTCGTCCTGAAAAATATCGATCTCTCCTGGAACAGGGTATATATATATATATATATATGCATGTCTCATACATATATGGCGAATCAAAATTTTCTTTCAATTTTTTTGTTGTTTGCTTTGATTTATTTTATCTTCACATGAGAACCCACGGGCGATCTCTAAAATCAATTTCAGCACCGTCGGGACAGGTCCTAGCACATTCTCATGTAAAAGAACAGAGAACTCTTGTAGAGGGAGGCTTACGTGGTCTGACCGCCGAACTGCCACTTGGGCCGCCCTCAATATCTTGCCAGACATCCTTTCCTACCACGTTGTCAAAGGACTGGGTGCAAATGTGCTCTAACGAGACATCATCACCTGTCTAATGATTTGTGGGAGTTTTGGGTCAGTGCCTGGTTGATGGAGAGATCGGTCGTGGAAAATCATGTAAAAATGATTGATAATAGTATCGGGTAAACTCCACTCAATATTGTTGTAACCATTGTCGTCATTAATTTTGAAAAATGAGAGAATAGAATTTTTTTACACTTACCTTACATTGAAATACCAGTCGTTGGGGGTTTTTCTCCCCTCCGAATCTTTAACAGGATACTGTGCATAATAATAATAAAAAAAAAAAAAAAAAAAAGAAAGAGGAGCAATTTTTATTTATTTATTTTTATTTTTAATTAAAATATGTGTGAAATTTTTGGAATAATTTGTTCTGAATAATTAATATTTACATATTTATAATTAGTATAAATATTAAAATATTTAAAATGAGGGTTCTCCTTGGTAATATAAGAAAAAGACACAGAAATCTGGACGTTGGTATACAGGAAGAAAACTTGATGAATTTATTAACTGAACAATATAAAATAGCTTTTGAGTTAACAAATAATAAAGTATATAAATTTAATTCTGATTAATTATTAAAAAAAAAAAAAAAATATATATATATATATAGAATTTATAATATTTAAGTAATAAGGAAAGCTTATTATTAATTTATACACAATTCTCCTATCAATAGGAACAAGAATCTCAATTATCAAATAAAAACATGTGAGCTTTCACACGGGAAGAATGGAAACTATCCCTTTGCTCCACACCGCCCCCTGGAGAATCCTTAAATTTTTCCCCTCAATTAACGCAGCGCGGCAGCCAATGAAACGACCGGATCTAAAAGAAATCCTTCAGACCCGATCGTCTCCCAGACGCGACCCACAGGAACGTTAATTTTCTGCAAATAAAGGGGAATGGTTTTACCCTTGGCCTAACTTTTTTTACTTTTACACACAAGTATAAAACTCACCACTTGCCATCTTGCTCGGGTCCGGGACTGCCGACCCCGTGTCCAATAATGGCACTGCAAGAAGGTCAGTTGGTAGGCCTTAGAAACAGGTTGGTACCCGACCTCTGGTGGTACCGGTGGTAAGGCAGATAAAGGGCTAAAAAGAAGAGAAGAAAGAAATATGTATATATTTTATTATATGTGTTTTTGTTTTTCTTTTCAGTTATTATTTTTTAATGGTAATTATATATATAAATATTCTTTTTACATTATAGTATGACGCCTATCCACCCTCCACATATCCTCAAGAAGGGGCAGCCTTCCAAGGGTTTCCCTAACGACGGACGGTTCAAGAAAACTAGGCTGAAAATAAAGAAATAACCCATGAGGATCTTATTCACACAAGCCTCGTGTATATGTGTTTATATATGCATACCGTAGCCCAAAAACCCCGACAAAGGTACTGCCCTGTCGACTCGCACCAGAGGTATTCCTGGTGCCATTGCGTTCGAGAATACCTTTTTCTCGGACCACTGCTCCTAAGAAGCACGTCCACCCTCCACATCTCCCAGTCGCTCATTCGATAGGGAGCCGGCCTCCACTCCCCAAATTCAACAAAGAACCTATCATCAAGAATGATTCTCTTTCTTATTAAGAATATTGTTAAATTTGACATTTTTCGGAAATTTCTAATAAAATTATTGCTTTTCAGAATTTAATTTTATTAAAAAAAAAAAATTTTTTTTGTCATCTTTTGAAAATTTGTCATTTTTCAAAGCCTTATTTTCGAAAAATTTCAATAAAATTATTATTTCAATTCTATACCATTATTAAAATTAAGTTTTAGAATTCTGGTAAAGTGTCAATTTCAAAAAGATTGTTATTTTTGAAAAATCTTCTTTTTCTGCAGAATTGTCACTTTCCAGTGTTTAATTTTGTTGAAATTTATCATTTTTCAAAATTTGTCATTTTTCGGAAATTTGACATTTTTCGGAAATTTGACATTTTTCGGAAATTTCTAATAAAATTATTGCTTTTCAGAATTTAATTTTATTAAAAAAAAAAAAAAAAAAATTTTTTGTCATCTTTTGAAAATTTGTCATTTTTCAAAGCCTTATTTTCGAAAAATTTCAATAGAATTATTATTTCAATTCTATACCATTATTAAAATTAAAATTTTTTAGAATTCTGGTAAAGTGTCAATTTCAAAAAGATTGTTATTTTTGAAAAATCTTCTTTTTCTGCAGAATTGTCACTTTCCAGTGTTTAATTTTGTTGAAATTTATCATTTTTCAAAATTTGTCATTTTTCGGAAATTTGACATTTTTCGGAAATTTCTGATAAAATTATTGCTTTTCAGAATTTAATTTTATTAAAAAAAATTTTTGTCATCTTTTGAAAATTTGTCATTTTTCAAAGCCTTATTTTCGAAAAATTTCAATAAAATTATTATTTCAATTCTATACCATTATTAAAATTAAATTTTTTTAGAATTCTGGTAAGGTGTCAATTTCAAAAAGATTGTTATTTTCGAAAAATCTTCTTTTTCTGCAGAATTGTCACTTTCCAGTGTTTAATTTTGTTGAAATTTATCATTTTTCAAAATTTGTCATTTTTCGGAAATTTGACATTTTTCGGAAATTTCTGATAAAATTATTGCTTTTCAGAATTTAATTTTATTAAAAAAAATTTTTGTCATCTTTTGAAAATTTGTCATTTTTCAAAGCCTTATTTTCGAAAAATTTCAATAAAATTATTATTTCAATTCTATACCATTATTAAAATTAAATTTTAGAATTCTGGTAAAGTGTCAATTTCAAAAAGATTGTTATTTTTGAAAAATCTTCTTTTTCTGCAGAATTGTCACTTTCCAGTGTTTAATTTTGTTGAAATTTATCATTTTTCAAAATTTGTCATTTTTCGGAAATTTGACATTTTTCGGAAATTTGACATTTTTCGGAAATTTCTAATAAAATTATTGCTTTTCAGAATTTAATTTTATAAAAAAAAAAAAAAAATTTTTTGTCATCTTTTGAAAATTTGTCATTTTTCAAAGCCTTATTTTCGAAAAATTTCAATAAAATTATTATTTCAATTCTATACCATTATTAAAATTAAATTTTTTAGAATTCTGGTAAAGTGTCAATTTCAAAAAGATTGTTATTTTTGAAAAATCTTCTTTTTCTGCAGAATTGTCACTTTCCAGTGTTTAATTTTGTTTAAATTTATCATTTTTCAAAATTTGTCATTTTTCGGAAATTTGACATTTTTCGGAAATTTCTGATAAAATTATTGCTTTTCAGAATTTAATTTTATTAAAAAAAAAATTTTTGTCATCTTTTGAAAATTTGTCATTTTTCAAAGCCTTATTTTCGAAAAATTTCAATAAAATTATTATTTCAATTCTATACCATTATTAAAATTAAATTTTTTTTAGAATTCTGGTAAGGTGTCAATTTCAAAAAGATTGTTATTTTCGAAAAATCTTCTTTTTCTGCAGAATTGTCACTTTCCAGTGTTTAATTTTGTTGAAATTTATCAATTTTCAAAATTTGTCATTTTTCGGAAATTTGACATTTTTCGGAAATTTCTGATAAAATTATTGCTTTTCAGAATTTAATTTTATTAAAAAAAAAAATTTTTGTCATCTTTTGAAAATTTGTCATTTTTCAAAGCCTTATTTTCGAAAAATTTCAATAAAATTATTATTTCAATTCTATACCATTATTAAAATTAAATTTTTTTTAGAATTCTGGTAAGGTGTCAATTTCAAAAAGATTGTTATTTTCGAAAAATCTTCTTTTTCTGCAGAATTGTCACTTTCCAGTGTTTAATTTGGTTGAAATTTATCATTTTTCAAAATTTGTCATTTTTCGGAAATTTGACATTTTTCGGAAATTTCTGATAAAATTATTGCTTTTCAGAATTTAATTTTATTAAAAAAATTTTTGTCATCTTTTGAAAATTTGTCACTTTTCAAAGCCTTATTTTCGAAAAATTTCAATAAAATTATTATTTCAATTCTATACCATTATTAAAATTAAATTTTTTTGAATTCCGGTAAAATGTCAATTTCAAAAAGATTGTTATTTTTGAAAAATCTTCTTTTCTGCAAAATTATCACTTTTCAGTGTTTAATTTTGTTGAAATTTATCATTTTTCAAAAATTTATCATTTTTCAAAATTTGACATTTTTCGGAAATTTCTAATAAAATTATTATTCTAATTCTATGTTATTATAAACATATTATTATATTATTTAAATTTTCCTCCTCTCCTTCCAATGGGGCTCGCTCCTCATCCTCCTGGACCTTCGCGGGCCGCATCTTTTTCACCTTATCCAAAAGGGTTAATAAACTTTTACGGTATCCGGGATCACTTTCCACAACTTCACACATTTTTTTTTCACTGTTTTTTTTTCTCTTCTCTTTTCTCACTTAACTTCACTCCCGATTCGCACGCGTCTGTTGTTGAAAAAAAAAAAAAAATAAATAAAAAAATAAAAAAAAAAATAAAATAAACCAAAAAAAAAAAAAAAATTTTTTTTTTGTAACGGGTTGTTGGTCAATTAAGAGCTGCCAGGAAACTGACTGCGGAGACCTGCGTCTGGACCACGGAGACTGCACGTGTACCTCCTTGGTCCTTATCAGTGAAACCTGATACTCCACATCCGATTCTCTGGCACCAACGTCCAGACAAAGAATCAGCATAAATTCTTTATAAAGAAAAACTTAATGATTCTATTCTCTCGTTTTTTTTTGCATATGTAATTGTTTACTAATTTTTATATTAAGCCCGATTTCGTTTCCATCGCCTTTAGTTTTTGGGGACAAAAACGGGAATATTCACGGTGGTTTGTCACGGTGGTACCTAAAAATTTAATTTTTTGTATTGTGCTGAAATTTACTTTTCGTAGATTTTAACACAATACTTTGATAATAAAAATTCAATCGTCAGCATAATGCGATGGGAACGGACTCGGGCCTCGTTCTTGGAATGTCATGTGTACACATATTATTATTATAACTATTTAGAATAAAAATGTAAATCGCAAATATCACCACTAGATATATATGCATATACTCTAATATAATTCAAATTTCTACGGGCATTCATAATTAAATATAACCTTAAAAAGTGAGGATCATTATATATATGAAATATAATTGAAAATTTTTTAATTCTAATGTTGCGAGTGCGTTAATGAACATTGCGACAGCGTTCCGAATGCGTTGGACGTTGCGGCAATGTTCCCAAACCACAATTGTAAAAGTTAGCAAATGGGAATGTTGCGAATGTGTTAATGAGCATTGCGGCAGCGTTCTGAATGCGTTAAACGTTGCGGCAATGTTCCCTACTTAAAATTGAAGAAAGTAGCGAACGGTAATGTTGTGAATGTTGCGAGTGCGTTAACGAACATTGCAACAGCGCCCCGAGTGCGTTGGACGTTGCGGCAATGTTCCCAAACGAAAATTGTAGAAGTTAGTAAAAGGGAATGTTGCGAATGTGTTAGTGAACATTGCGGCAGCGTTCTGAGAGCATTAAACGTTGCGGCAATGTTCCCCACTTAAAATTGAAGAAAGTAGCGAACGGTAATGTTGCGAATGTTGCGAGTGTGTTAACGAACATTGCAGCAGCACCCTGAATGCATCGAATGCTGCGGCAATATTCATAATTTAAAATTTAACGGAATTATTGATTGAAGAAGATAATAATGGATACTTTGTTTTGTGAGACACGATATTATCACTTGCGGGTCCAAAAAAATGAGTATGGATGTGTACAGGAGCCACACTAGAAATTGGACTTCTCGCGGAAAAAAAAAAAAGGATATAATAATAATAATAGTTAAAATAAATCTACGCGATGAGCTTTTTCTTGAACGTAATTCTTCAGCTTCCATCCTTTTCCTACTCTACCCCCCCCATTTTTTTTTATTACGTATTCTGGGCCTAACAATCCTACATGCTCATAACAACACAACATCAACGTTGTAATTGTTGCAAATAAAAAAAAAAAAGGGTAAAAATGCCAAAAATCAAATCATTTTCCAACAAGGAAAATTAATAAAATAAATCCAAAAGACAACAAGTCTTTTCAATAATAATTATGCTTGATTTTATCAAGTGCATATTATTATATTTGGCTATACCATTAAAAGAAAATAAAAACTCAGCATTATTGGCATAGTAACAGGCCCAGAGCTCACGCCTTGTTCACGTGTTAAAAACCCTTAGTCCACAAAATTTTCCCACCTGAAGTCTCTAAACGTTCATATAAAAGTGCATCGCGGAAGTCAATTATTTGCAGTACAACTCTCATTCGCGAGTCAGCTCTGAAATTTTTCAGAGGCATAAAAACGATTTTGAGACGCCGGGACTAAGCCCGTCCGTGAGTCGGTTTTTCAATTTTTGCAATCCACTACATAGATAGTGATTAAAATTGGACGGACGAAAAGTTAAAATAAATACTTCACGCCGACGAAGTCCAACGGAAGTCGTCTTTAATAAAAATCCAGTAATTTGAATAAAATCAAATTATTGAATTTTTGTCTTTTTGACCGGCCAGTCCGCACGTGTGGTGCCTGCGCTGTTTAGATTCGGTGGACTCGTGAGTGCAATTTTCGTGCGCTACCAATAGACACTTTCGCGCT